CCGCGAGGCCGCCCCTGCAGGCGTGGCGGCGCCTTGGTGCCCCGAGCGCCGACAGGACTCGCGTTCTTCTCAAATGCGTCTCGTCTTAAATGCTTTTAAATAGTTTTTAAAGTTTTGGATTACGTTGACAGGTCCTAACTATGATTGACTTTCTTTTGTCTAGAAGAACTGTATAAAACTTTTATCTTTGGCTGCCATGTGTCTGGGTATTTGGGGTTCGAAGAACAGAGCTTCTGCATCTGTGATCTTCCCCAGGGATCCAAAAAAGCCGAACGGATGTTGTGTTCAAGACTTGTCTGGAAATCAAAAGGTTACAGGGGTGAAAGAAGTAGGGACCGAGAGAGGAGGCAAGCCGTGGAGAGACGAATGGAGACGCTTGTGTCACCAGTGTGGTGAGAGAATAAAGCTACATACATCGAGTTATGTAGATAAAAACATTTCAGATTCTTTGAGGGAAGAATAATTGGTTTAGAGAAAATGAAGAGTACCTGCTTTTGATCTCATTGAATCTTTCCATGGTTATCTTGTGATCATTTAAAAATAATTACCAAGTGATAAAAAGGACATTTAGACTTTGGAAATGCAAAAGTGACTGCAATAAAGAAAAGGAAATTAAGCAGGTGATTGACAAGAGGTAAATATCTCAACTCTTTTTGGTTCCAGTTACTAACAATTAACATTTTATAAACAGGAAGCAGCCAAGTCTGGCGCGCAGGAAGCAAGTATTTGCATAGCCAAGATTTTTTTCCCCCCTCTCTGAGAACAAGTTTCATCCAAATAAGTGTCCAGAAAAGTATATTTCTGTGAAAGCTACTCTCCGGGCTCTTTTCTTCCCTCGGTGAATTCTGGAGAGAAACCTTTCACTTGATGAACCCTTGTCTAGTGATTTCAAATGAGAGTCACAAAAGCAGTGTCACAGTTGAAACTCTGCTTTGTTAATTTTATGGGTAAACATGTCGTAGATTGTTATTACTAAGTAAAAGCCACTCTATATTTCTGACAGGAATACCCGCTGTACCAAGTGTGCTTTTTACAAGTTATTATCGGTTACAAATGGAACTATATAAGAGTGTGCTCCATGTTGCTCAAGAACCATCCTGGAAATGAAGACTGAAACCAAGTGGCCAAGAACTCCAGGATTCTCACCCTTTGCTCTATGGAGTAAGCTTTCATTTAACTAAAAGATTTCATTTAATTTTTTAAGAGGCCACTGCTATCACGGGATTTTAGAATTGGAAAAGATCTTAGAGATCATTTAGTCAAATCTCATTTTATAGACAAGGCTGTTGAGAGCCAACTAATACCTAGCTGAGCTACCCATGATCACACGGTCAATGGGTGACTGTGGCCCTGTGACTGCTTGTCATTACCGCTCCCTTTCCAGCACTTACTTGATTTTCTTTTTATTATGGAGGTTTTCATATTTTCTTTGAATAAGATGAAATGAAAGCTAACTTGAGAAGATTTCCCATTTTCCCATCTGCTTTCCCTGAGCCCCTTAGTTCAGAATCTTGTCTAAAATATTGAGTCTTTTTGTTGGTTGTAGTCATGCTGTTCACTCTCAGTGGCTGTAGACAGCCGGATAGTCTCCTATCCACTATCCATTCTCCAATCTTCCTAATTATACAGTCCCACTTGGGAAGTGGGGTGGGGGTGGTAATGTGCCCAGCTAAAATCATTCTCAGCACCTCTCTGAGCTCCATTCTGAGCAACAGAGCCCAAGTGGGACTTCAGGAAAAACTTAACAGGAGTTCACTCAGTTGGTTTATGCCCATTTGCAGTTCTGTCTGGACTGTAGCTTGATGACTGAAGCCATAGCAACAATGTGAGCATGAGGGTAAAAGTGCCACCCTAAGAATGAGGGAACGACTGACCAAAAACAACAACAGTGAGTCCTTAATGGAAGCTGTCATTCCAGCCCTTTTTTTTTAACCTCCTGACTTGTCAAATTGTGAGAAAAATACATTTCTATCTTGTTCAAGCCAGTGTTTGTTTGGCTTTTCTCTTAAGTACCCCCATTGGGTCTCATTTAGGACAAGAACAAAATACGAGTTCACCTTTATTGAATATATTTTTTGAACACTTAACCAACTGCTCATATAGTAGACTGTAAACAGGTATCAGGTTTCTAATATTGTAATAATTCATTCACTTAAATCGTCTCCTCCCTTTCTCTCTACCTCTGGCTACTAAATGTTTTGTGTCTTCTGTCCAGATGCTAAATCCATTATAAGACCCAAAATTTCAAGTGCTGCTTTGATGTCTTTGAACATCACAAGGCCCAAGGCCTCACTGAGCTACCTACTATCCCCAGACATTACTCCATCCACAGAAAGTTTCCCTGCCTGGCTAACTTTCCCTATCACCTGAGCACACCACGCCTCACACAGGTATCAGCCAAGTGGGTTCACCTTGCCATCAGCCTATGAAATTGCTAAGACAAGCCAAGTACATGTTCTCAGGCACCAAGGATCATCTCACCCTTTTGTTCTTACCAAGCCAGTGTCCCACAACCCTGATGGTTTCCCTACTTCTGATGGTGACCACTTGCCCCAGCAGGACACAGGGGTGGGGTCGGGGGGGCTCAGGGTTCCCCACAATGAATATTACAAACTGCTATCGATCCTTTCTGTCCAGGGCAAGTGTTGTGAGCTTCGAAAGTTTAGACTCTTTAGGGAACTCTCCTTAAGTGAATGGAAATGATTAAAAGACCATGTTCAACAAACGTTTATTGATGTTTGTGTTTGTGTTCAACAAACATTTATTGAGGCTTCTTCAGTGCCAGATACATCCAGGAAGGGCTAGAAGGGCAAGCAAGACAGGTACAGTGCCTGCTCCAGAGCAGATATGCTACAGTAGGGAGGATGACGAAGATGACAGGGAACACACACAGTGGTAATACACTGTGGGGAGTGTGTGAGAAGAGCTAGGGCACCATGGTGGCAGAGGAGGAGGAAGATAGGGGTAGATTCAGGTAAGACAGAAGACTCCCTTTACATCAAGGTAACTTTCCATTACAGTAACAATACCTGAGATGATCCTCATGACAAAGGATTTGTTTGGGCTCACAGCTGTGGAAGTTTCAGTCCAGGAGACTTTAGGCTTGTGGCGAGGTCACACATCACAGTGAGTGTGTGGCAGAGCAAAACGGCTTATCTCATGGCCGGGAAGGGAGAGGGAAACAAGCACCCTTTGAGGCCATGATCATCAATTAGCTGAACACCTGGACTGTGCTCCTCCTCTAAAAGGTTTCACTGCCTCTCTCTGACACATGGGCTTTGGGAGTGAGTGGAAAAGAAACAGTCCAACAACAGTCCAAGCAAGTTTATTGCTAAACCTGAGAGGGACCTCTCTGTGTGAGTAGGACAAAGGTGTCTTTTACAGATTAACAGGCCTCTTTTATAGTGTGTGTGTGTGTGTGTGTGTGTGTGTGTGTGTTTTGGAGGGGTGGGCTTTTGAGGGGATGGGTCAGAGAAAGAGCAGGCTTGTGGCTTGCTGATATGTCCTCTGTCCTCTGTAACCTGCTGACATGTCCTCAGGGACTGTTTGTGACTTGCAGATGCATCATCTGTGACCTAAGTAAGATAAAACCTGCATTTCTTTAAGATGGTGAGCGGGCTCATTCAAATGTCAGGGCTCTATCAGGAGGATAGTCCAGACAAAGCTATAGCAGTCATGAAAGGGAGACCCAAAGGCAGAGCAGGAATGAGCTACATGGACACTGGGGAAGAGCTTTGCAACAAGAAAAAGCATTTTCTAGATCCAGAAGCTACTCCAGCAAAGGGATGCAGGAGGTTGGTAGAAGATTCGACCAGAGATACAGGAGAGGACATGGAGGGGAAAGGAGGATGGATTCCTGACATGTCAGAGGTAAGATTGATGAGGTTTTCTTTGGTTTAGAAGAGGAAGAAGGGTAATGGAGGGTTTAATGATGATTCATGGGTATTGCTTTGAGCAATTTGGATGGATAATGGTGTCACTGAGAAGATACACAAAACTAGAGGTGAGGGGAGCTGGAGGAAGGAACAGATTGGAAAAGAAAATTGAGATTCTTTGAATCTATTAAGATGTGTGTGAGGCACCGGAGTGGAGGTGTGAATGGGTAGCTGATATGAGGGTCTGCGTGTCTGTGAAAAAGTTGGGGTTTGGAGATGTAAAATTAAGTGACTTAACCTTTAAGAGACCACACACGTATGTAGTCATCCAGGGCTAGAGTGTGGAAAGAGAAAGGAAGGGTGTCTGATAGCAAGTATAACTTCATGCCCATGAGGCGACAGAAGGCTTCTGGTTGGATGTTCATATGGCTGAGCATCTAAGGAAAGGGCCATGTGGTAGCCACCTATTTCCTCAGCAGACTGGAATCAGTGGCAGCCTGAAGCTGCCCAGAGATGGAAGTTGCTGTCTCCTTGACAGGGATTGGATTTCAGGATCCTGAGTTGACTTGCTAGGGCTCCTGGGTGGAGTTATAGATCTCTGTGCTGCCCAGAAAGACGTGCACCCCATAAAAACCCAAGCTACTTGCTTCAGGACATTTTGGGAGCTGCATTATTATACATTTGTAGTCTACTCTTTCTACTCATTTCCCCAAATCCATTATCTTTAAGTTCTCACACAAATTTTGTAGAAGTGCCCACCTTGGTCTCTGCTCTGTGGTGGGAAATTAACAGCTATACAGCCTGTCCACAAGGTGTGATTGAAAA